GGGGGGGGGGGGAGGTTGTGGTTGTGAGGGAGGCGTGCCCGAGAGGGAGGGGGTCATGATCATACACGCTGTTGTCTTCAGACAGGTCAACGGAAGAAGGCCATGGCCGATCATGAAATGCCAGCCGTCCCAAACCATCCCTTCACCCATATAGCTGTCCATGCGCTCATACCTACAAACATGCACGATTAGGTGAGGAGTAAACAACGTGCTTCCTTGCTACCCGCAGCGTCTAAATAAATTGCGTCTACCGTAGGTGACGTAGGATATCACGCCCCGTGGGTCGTTCTTCAAAGCTCGATTACTCTCCAGAAAAAGCAATGGTGGTGCCGGAAATTGTGGCACTTCTCCGTCTCGTCCCAAGCTTTCCGAAACGTATCACGTTGTATTGGCAGCCTATTTGTCGCGGAGTGATCGAGCTTTGACAATATGTCCAGGGGGCGTGGTATCCTACATCACATAACCTACGGCGGTATCTACCGTAACACTCGTGTCTCACCGTGACGCTCTGCAGGGACCAGCTGTACCAGCTGGCGTGCTCATCCATCACCAGCTTCTTCGCCGAGTACCCAACGACCAGCGGGAGCAGGAGCAGGGAGAGATATGCGATCGCCATTCGGTCGTGCCTCATCGTCTCCATCGCCTGGTCGGGCCCCTTCCCCTCCCCCAAGACACCCCCCACACCCGGCCCCTCCACCGCCTCCTCCGCCTTTGCATTCGGGTCGCCCTGCTTCCCGTCCTCCCCCTTGCGGCGCCTCAGGGATGACGCATCGCCACTGCTGCCCTTGCTAGAACCAGGCGTTCCGCTTTTGTTCTTTTCTGTGGTGGTCCCGCCGCCCCCGTTCTTCTCCTGGCGAGGTACCCCCTCCCCTGCCTCCGCCGGCACCCCCCCCCCTTCGGCTTGTTCGAGCCGCGTGAACACGAAGCCTCCCCACCCGATCTGCATGCCCGTCGCTCTTCGAACTTTCCAGATCTGTTGGTTTCGTGGAGTAAATATACCGACCGTGCGGGGAGTGATTCACCCAAATGGCATGAATTCAAGTACAAGAACGAGCCGGGAGAGTCTGGAAGAAAAAGGAGGCGAGAAAAGGAATTAATATACAGCCACGCAAGGTGGACAAAGGGTACGACTTGACAAAGGCAACCACACGAAAATATGTTCGCAAACAACTGCTCATATATATGTACAACATGAAGGAGAACGCTTATGTGCTGTGACCACGGGAGGCGTCCGCGTCAATTGGACAATCGTACGGATGTCACTATGGTAGGTACTGAGCAGAGATCGAAGACAACAACAAACCGAAATTTCGGCCAGCAGGATTCAAGCAACAATCGAAAATACCAACTTCTCCGAAACGCTTTCATTAAACATTAACGTCGACCTCTAGCCTCGAACAAGCTGGCACATGTTCGTCATCTGAGAAAGTGAAGAGAGGAGGCCAGCTGCAGTACGCTTGACACATGCCGCAAAAGTACCATATACGTTTCACATAACAAGTATTGCACCCATCGCGCCACAGGGGCCCCCCGCATCACCTGGATGAGTACGCCCACGCCGGCGGGAACCGTTACCAGCAAGGACGCGTCCTCTTCGATGAGCGACAGCAAGATCACCGTCTGAAAGAAGACCTCCATGAAGAGGGTCCGCACGGACAGCCCCCTGAGACTCTTGTTTCGCCGCCAGAAGTCCACGTCCGACTTGAACGCCAAGAACTGCTCTCTCGCGTCGGCAGGCAGGGTTCGTGTGCCATGTGTATGTTCCGTTCCGTTCCGTTCCGTTGGTAGGGTGAGACGAGGGAGCACGGAAACAAGGAAGGATAGGGAGAGAGACGGGGGATGAGGAAAAGGGCAATACGCAAGGGAGGGGGGTGCACAAAAGGAAGAGGATGGAGGTCGACACTGCGGGACAGGAGAGCGAGAGGCGAAACGGACTGTAAAAGCGATGCCACCCCACAGTGGTACACAAAAGGCGTAGGCACGAAAACAGAGGCAACGCCAAGACGAGGGACACAACGCAAGGGAGACTGCGCTGCGGGCCAGAGCCAAACAGCCAACCGGCAGGAAAGACAGACAAGACTGCCCTACGTACCTCAAACAACAGGTGGAGGGTAGACGCGAAGAGCGTGACGATGAGGAGGTAAACGTTGGTGTCGCTTATCAGGCGGCGGACGTCGTCGACGTCCGAGTCCTGGAAGCCGAAGCTCTCCTTCTGCTGCTGCAGAGAGTGCTCCATGCTCTGCGTTCCAAGGGCCCAAGGTTTAATGAGGGAGACAGGGCTAGGCCAAGCGTTGCAGGGGGTGAAGAGGTACACAGCGCCCGCCTGCTATACTAAAAAATCCGACCAATAACCAAGGCTCGAGCTCTTGCAGCGGTGCCTCGACAAAGGAGGCGTGCGCACCTGCATGAGCTGCCAGCGCTGCAGGGACATGGGCTCGATGGTGACCTTGAGGGGCAGCGAGGAAAGGGTCCTGTTGAGGGGCACGTACTTGTCGGACGTGAGGCCTATCTCGTCCACGTGCACGATCGGCTTGTACGCCTTTTTCCAGTCAGGGGGCATAATAAACAAAACGAGACGGCGGCAGCAGCGGTGACCGGTGGAGGGGACGAGACAAGCGGGATGGCGGCGGCGGTGAAAGTTCGGGGAAGATTATGGCGCGTGCTCGTGTCGCGGTGAATTTCACTGGACCCAAAAAGACGGTACCCAAAATTTCCTATCTGAGGAGCCGCCGAACAGTGAGAGCATAATCTAACGCAGGGTGTGGCCAGGTTTTTTCGTTTTCTTCGACAGGCTGACATATGTTATGTTATCTTTCCCTCGCGTCCCCGCCCATCCTCGCGCGCACGTAACGCCTAAACAGCAGCAGACCCTCACGCATGCATACCATGTGTGAGCTACAAAACGCGCTTCGCGGATGCACCGACCCCGGATTCTCTTTGATTTGATCGTAAATACTTTCACCAATCTCTCTCGTGTACACCCAACCTCGATCCGGCGTACGTACGTAGGTCGACGATAGATCCACCCCTTCGCCCAAATGCCCATCCATTCTCAACCTGCCAACATTGGTGTTGACAAATTTGACAACATTGATTCATCACAGCACTGGTACGTAGGACATCCACGAAGCTCACCAGGCTGTCCCAGGCGCCATTGGACCACTGGCCGTCCTTGGTCAAGCCGATGATCTCGGCCGCTCGCTGAATAGTCTGGGGAAGGTAGTTGTGCGGGTACTCCGTGAAGTCCGCCACGACTCGAACAGCCACCTAAAGTAAACGAGAGCGGGTTCGTCGTCACGAGCTCGTGAATTGAGAGAGGTTGAGAGGCAAGGGAATGATGTATACCTCGTGTTCTCCAAGGGGAAGCAGTGTTTGTCTTAAAAATAGTGTAACCCGTATTGTTGAGGCCACGAGTCTGTTCAAAGAGACGAGAATGGTCGTGGAAACAGCACTACCATCGCCTCTACTGCACCACCAAAAACGCCAATACAGCCATCATACCAAAACAGCAACAACACCTCCCGACAACAAGCACAACCGTGAACAGCAAGCTAGTCCCGCCACCAGAAAACGGACCTGAACTCGCCCATCCACCCCCTCACCTCCGGCTTCCAAAAGGATATATACTCTCCCTTCCTCGACGACGCTCTAGAAGAAGATCCACCCCCGCCCCCGCCCCCGCTATCTGACTCCAAGCTGCCGTTACCGCCGCCGCCGCCACCGATGCCAAGGTCGGCGAGGAGAAACCTCATACCCCTCGTTTTCGGCGGCGGTCCGAACTTAACGAGAGGAACCGAGTCTAGCAGAGTCCACAGTTGCCGGTCCTCCGGCACCGCCTGGGTCTGCGGCGGTCTTTGTTTGCCGTTCCGTAGCACCGTGTGCGAAGACGACATCGAGTTCCACGACAACATCGAGTTCGAGGGCATCAGAGAGTTCGAAGGTATCATAAAGAGAGTTCCAAAGACACGGGCAAGTGGGAAGATGGCGGAGATATCGGAGCGCAGCCAGAGAAAGAGAGAGAAAGGGATGGGGGTCGTTTGGTCTATGAATGGGCCAAAGAAGCGAAGAACCTCCTCGAAAACGGGAGAGGCCTGATACCCGCAGCTTTTGGCCAATAGACGGTAGTTCTATGCCTTTCCTGCGGACGGACGGAGCGCTGCTACACAACATCCAACAGAACGTACCGCGACATGCGCACTGTCGAAACACGAAAACAACAACTCGACAAACAAGCGTTCGTCGTGTGAAGCAACAAACAAGGGCCGAACCAGCCACGTACGCCGCCCCTGGTTGGCATGAAGCGGCGGCGGCGGCGGCGGCGGCAGCAGCAGCAGGTGCGACACCACTCACTCTGCCTCGAGGATGACGTGGAAGTACATGGTCTTGTTGGACATCAAGCCGTTCCAATCTAGGTTGTCGAGCTGCCATGCAACGCCCCAAGCGGCAGAGACGACAGACAGAACGAAGGCACGGGAGATGCAATGCGATGCGATGCGATGCGATGCGATGCGCGCGCGGGTTGGGTTGTCATAACGATCCTGGTCCCTCCCTCCCTCCCGCAATAGGAGGCCACCACCACCACCTGTGCCGATCAATTCGCGAAAACAATGCCGTCTGCTACCTTGTGCTCACGTTGCTTATGCTATACTACGCTCCTGCTACTTGCCGCTCGAGAGTCTGTTGGGGAAGAAGGAGGTGCCCTCTCACCATGGTCGTGTTGGGCCAGGTCTCGTCCGCTCCCGCCGCCAAAGCGGTCAAGTTTAAATGGAACGAGTGACGAGTCATCTCGTGGTCAAACGTTAAACCCTCTGCCCTGAGTGTTGTTTGTTCCGTTTGGTGGCACCATGCCGTTTCGTGATGCGCCGTTTCGCGTTTGGGTGACGTTTCGGATTGTGGCGTTTCGTGATGTGCCCGTCCGGCACGGCGGCGTCCCCAGAAGCAGTTTGAGTGGGAGTGTGATAGAAACAACACCGACAAAGAGCAGGTTGCAAGAGCGGGGAGAAACTGTTGTTAGCTGTTGCTGCTGTTTTGGTTGTTGCTGATGCTGTCGGTCGTGAGAGTAGCTGTGTTAGTAGTGCTCTTGTGATTGCAGAATAGACATAGGCGCGGCAGCTTACTGACTCGATTATCGGATCGGTGCGAGATTCAGTAACAGGCAAGAGCATGGATGACGATGCGCCAACAAACCTCTCTTCTTCTGCCAACCCCACGGACAAAAAACCAACAACAACAAAATGCACCAGTTTGGTTCCGCAAATAAACCCAGTTGTAGTTCCAGCGGTGGTGGCTCTGTGGTGGTTGGTGACATAGCAAAATAGACAGTAGCTACAGACGATAGGGGCGATCAGTAAACAATAGCACGGTACTGCCTTCTGTTGTTGTGGTAATTGTTGCCCCTTTGTCACCTTCCAACGAGAGGTACCCTGTCTGCCGATGGGCTCGATCGATCTAGAAACGACTGGCGAAACGTTTTGCTGGCGGCGAGGTAGCACGTTGCAGTCATCTGTGGCGGAACAACACACGCACCGAGAGCGAGAGAGAGGAGCGAACGCAGAACGAAAATAACGAAACGAAAAGAGCACAAGAGAGGAGATAAATGACTGAGACCGCGAGATAGGATACAATTCAGCGTTTGGTCTCCAATTCGAGTACTCGGGACTGCAAGCCAGCAAAGCAAGAAATCCAGCAAGTTGGCAGGAGAAGAGCTCTACAATATATCCCAACCAATCATCTCCGCCCTACATTTAGACAGGAGTCGGCAACTTCCCCGCCGTTTGTCCCCCGACCGGGGCAGGCGGTCCAGCAGCATCAAAAATGCCGCCGAATTGGAAAGGTCAAACAATGATTGCCGACTGAGAGTCCCCACGAGCGTAGACAAAGCCCCTTTGACTTTACCCGGCCGTCTCCGGTCCCGTTGCCACTTATTGCGTGCGTAGCACGATATCTTTTATGCCTAGATGCCGGTGTGGTCCTCTCTTCACCACAACACTCTCGGATCGATCTACTGCAGACACAATCTAAGTCCGTTAGTTCTTCGTCTTGTGTCTTTAAATCTCGTGTTGGGCTGTTATCGCAACCGAGCGACCCCGATCCCGGGTGTCTGCCCCCCCACCCCCCCACCCCAAGGCCCCCAACCCCCCCTCCTGCGGTGCTGGCCTCAACAGTTGTGAAGAAAAACATAGCAAGCACAGCATCGATCAAATAATTTTAGGTCAGCCGTGCTCGCCTTTGTCCCCTCGCTCCAGAGCGGTTTGATGGTCGGCGCTCCCGGCTCTATGACCGCGTGCCTCATCGGGTTCATGACCCCATGCATGTTGTACGCCACGTAGACCACGTATAGCCCGAACAGACTCGTCTGCCGATTTAAACACCCATCATACCAAAAGGGCACGGCATAGGGGGAGCACGAGCTGGTTAGTTCGGGCACAAAGTTGTGTACACACACACACCCCATAAGGTGTGGCATTGTGCCAATAACACGTTAAGGCTTTTTTTAATCCTCTTCCTAATGTATCTACTTCAGTAGCAAGATTGGAGCACCAAAATAAGTAGATAGGACCGTGCAAGTTGAGCACTTCACGATACGAGTGGAGTACTCGTGAAATCGGCAAAACGGTAATTTCTAGGCTGCGGTACGCGTGTTTCGTGTGCTTGGTTGAGCGTATGCGTATACCATCTTCACTTTTCACTTTAAAGCAACTCGATCATCTCAACATGTTCCTCGATTGCTGTGATACACCCACCAAGAGCAGCGGAGCCCCGATGACAAACTCAACATGAATGCCGTTGCGGCACTGAACCTCACGCGCGAAGAAGCAGGGGACTCCGGGCGAGTGATTGTATCGCGGTGCGACAACTCCGATACAAACACGGAAATGAAACGTACATAATCTAGCTTTTGATTATACAGAAGTCGTCCCTCGTCTCGAAAACTTTCCTTAAAGCGACGACAACGACTTTAACCGCGCTCCGACGCAATGGCAACTCCGATGGGTGCCGTCACTCGCACAATAACGCCAACAGTTGGCCATTAGTTACTCCTTTCGGTTGCAAGTTGACCATAAATTAGTGCTTTCAGTTGGAGAAGTGTGCGGCAGGCTATGGGCATGTCAAACCGAAACGTTCGCCGGCACAGCCTCTGCCAAGAAACGAGCGACGAAGCGGCCCCAGCCTCAGCCACCGCCGCCGCCGCCGCCGGCACGCAAGGCGGAGATACATGCACGCACGATTCACACCGCAAGACTTCTTGCCGCTCTTTCGTGCACGAGATAAGTAGGCCAAATCTCCGGCAGGCTTACTCGTCAAAATGAGTCCGTTACACCACGCGACAAGGTGTGTTCTGAGCTCGCTCTTTGCGGTCCAGCAGTCTGCGTTACATCGGCTGCTACAGGCTCAGCGTGCTGAATTCCTTGACTATTCAATAGGTTCAAATGAATGATCAGGCAGCTGTTGCTTGTGCATACATAGTGCGGTCCGCATACGTTGCACAACGCCACAGCGGCATCGTCCAGCGGCGTCCGTTGCACCGACACGTTGTGCCACCCAGCCATGTGCCGCTCTTGCCGGCATCGAGAATCCCATCAACCACACACGCCGACGAAACGCAGCCCGATGGCATGCCAAAACCGATCGATATCGTTGCACATCCATTGAACATCACCTCTCCTACTCTCTCCGGCGTACACGTGCGAACGATGTGCATTGGGTGCATGCCAGAGTCGAGGCCGGTGGTTGCAGCCAGCCGCGGAGCAACACGTGATATGTCAGCTAACAATCCGAAAGGGAAGCTTAGCAGAGCCACTATTTACGTCATTACCACATGAAGTCCACCAAGATCACCAAGTGGCTTAAGTTGATCTGCTTTCAAGGAAACAGAAACAATCACGCTTCGCTGATGTGCCACTTGCACTAATGCTGTCTAGCATCGTCTCTTTCCTAATAATCGCCTGGTCCGCATATATCTTGCAGCCATCTGCGGCATGTGTGGAATATGTCGCTCCTCCGCACGTTGTGGAATGTACGACACTCACCGACAGGCAGGATACATTGAACAACCCTTTGAGTCGCCCACCCTTCTTGCGCTCCATAACTTCTGCGCCCATCGCCGTCCCTCTTTCACTCTCTCTCTTCCCTAGGCGCCGATGCGTGTGTAGTGAGTGCACCTAGCAGCAGTGTGCGGCGCAACTAAAATGGTGGAGTTCCACGAGGTGACGAGGCGTTTCGCGACGTTTCGTTTTTCTTTTACTTGCAGTCTGTTCGTCGTCGACTGCTGTGTCGGTAGAGAAAGAAAAGGCCTGCTCGTATTCGGGGATCCGAAACAGCGCGTGTACAAGGCAGCCTCAATCTGCTACCCTCTACAAATACCCTGTGATGCACGAGGTGCTGCTTGGACAGGGTAAGGAAGGACGCGTCAGAACCCCATCGACGGCGGGAGAGCCTCAAACATATGTCGTCGACAGAAATCGTCCATGGTAAGCAAATGACACCGCCGCCCGGCTTCTCTAAAGGCGGGCATGGGAAGCACTTAACGAGCTACGCAATACACGCGCAGCCGCAGCATCCCGTTCACCCTCCTGTTGCTGCCTCTTCCCCCGCAGTTGGGGTCACGAACCACCCAGTAGCAGGAGCAGGCGACAAGCGTTTCACGACAGCGTACGGGAATGTTGTGTGGCCGACTCTACCGGGGCTGTCTTCGTCGCCAGAGTCGGCCCCGATGGCTGAGTCCGGCACAGCCACCAGACCTGGTTCCGCAAGCCTTGTTCATCATCATCCTTCAAGCGCCGCTGCAGCTGCCCCTAAGACAGCCCAGACCCTGATGCCGGCCACGACGGGAATGATGGCAGAGCACCCGAGTGGTCCCCGCTGTCGTGGACCTTTGGTAGGTTTGCATGCACGTGCTTCGGCGCATGTTTTTCATTGATGTCAACGAGTGTCGGACGCTTTGCGTGTTCTTGCTCTAAAACTACGTGCTCTTCCGTTTCACGTGTTATGATCATATTTCTGTGCTACCATGTTTCCTCCGGGGGGGGTATGACCAACTCTAAAGCACCCCTGGCAATACACCGTGTAGTTGCCGACACCTATGGGAAGTCGGACGTAGTGAAGACAGTTGCACAAAACATGTCCCTTGCCGATTGAACGATGGCGTTCGCGTCGGGCAAAAGTACCGCTCACTTTTTTCAACATCGCGTGAATGTCTACTCGCAATTGATCGACCGAAGCACATCGTGTTGCATACTTATAGGTCATCCCACCCTACTCTTCATGCCGTCTGCAGTGCTACCTATATGATGTACGCGCTGCCGCGTTGAGTGAAGAAATTGGCGAATCCCCAACGGGGCCGGTTGTTCGTTGCATACCATTGAATAAGATGTCCGTCGGTCAGAATGTGTGTTACCTAGTAAATAGTGAATGCCGTCAAATGCGCCCCGAGCTTCCACGAGAAACGCATCCATATCAGGCCATGAACCGAAATGTAGGGCTACCGAGCCAACGCAGAAATACACGGCGCAAGGGCGCCACGATGCATATTTTTCCCAGGTCGGCAGACAGTGCTCTTGGAAGTCATACTTCCACTACCAGTACCCTCCCCTCGTCTCCTATCTCACACTCCCCTTCGCCCCTTCGCCCCGTCCCCGCACCCCATCTCGTACTCCACACAACTGATTGTTCTTGTGAGTCTAGTACTCCACCAGCAACACGATGCTCCTTCGTTCTGCCTGCGATGCATGCCACCGAATGAAGCGCAAATGCGACGGAAAGCACCCGTGCACTCGTTGCGAGCGGCGAGGCCGCGACTGCGTTTATGGCTACAAGCAGAAGTCCGGCCCGCCCAAAGGCAGCAAGCGTAAGCTCATCGAGGACGAGGACGACCTTCTCGAAAACAGGCCGATCAAGCCGACGCCAAGACGACTCATCGGTGTCGGCGGAAGCATCGGTATAGGTGGTGAAGGCGGCGGGTGTTTCCCAGCCGCCGCTACAGCAGCAACAGCCGCAGAGGAAGCAGTGGCAGCGGAAGCGGAAGCGGAAGCGGCATGGCCAGGAGTCGCTAACAACAGCAACGAGGTGAACGAGCAAAGCAGGAGCGGCGGCGGTGGCGGTGTTAGCGGTGGCGGCGACTACAGAAGCCACCATGGTTCCTCTTCCTCCGCGCCAATCGCAAGCACCCAGAAACCCGTTCAGACGCACGTCCAGCCCCCCGCACCGGCGTCTGCGCAGCGACCTGTTCCGGTGCAGTCGCCTCCGCTCGGCCCATCCCCTGAAGCCAGGGCGGCGGCAGCGGCAGCCGTAGCGGCGAGTCGCTTGAACGCCCTTGCTTCCGTCGCCCCCGCGCTGTCAGCCGCGGGCTTGCGCCCACAGTACATGCTTCAACCCCCGCCCGCTCTCCCGGGATTGCCCGGCGGTGGAGGTGGCGCCGGCGTCTACTACCACCAGTACCCGCCAGAGGTGTATGCGGTGTACCTCGCGGAGCTTCGGCAACGGAGCGCCGGCAGCAGCATCAACAGCAGCAGCAGCAGCGGCTGCGGCAGCATCATCAACAACCCAACTCCCAGTACTGCTACTTCCATAACGGCAGCTCCCTCGGTCTCTGGGCTCCGGGAGGGGAAGCCGGCGTTAGCTACAGATTACGCAGCTGGTACAACCAATACTGGTGCCGAAGGTAGTTCGACTGGGACCGGGCCAGGCGCGACGGCAAGTGAGCCAGATCCATCAGCGAGCAAACCTGGAGGACACCTGTTGCCGGGCTTCGGGGGGGAGTGGGCCGGAAACAAGGGTGGTGGTGGTACCGCCGGCAGCAGCAGCAGCGCCAATGACGTACAACCGAACGCCGCGCCCCTCGCGTACGTTGCACAAACTTCCCGTGATGAGCACGAGAGGAGTAGCGGCGAGCGCTACGCCGGGCAGGCAGCAGCGGCCGCGGCATCATCGCTTGCCCTCGCGGCGGCAGTGACGGCGGCCGTTGCGGAAACCTCTCCCAAGGACAAGGGCGACGCCAAGAACGGCTGCGCGTCGTCGTCTTCGGCGGCGCCACCCAACGGTGGTGGCGATGGCAGCGGCGGTGGTAGCGGGGGCGGCGGCGGCGGCGGTGGCGGTGGTAGTGGCGGTGATACAGCCCCAAAAGCCCCTCTCTCGCCCACACAACGCGATCATTTTGATGCAGAGGGTTCGGGAGGCGGTGGTGGTGGAACTGTAACGGTGGCGTGCGCCGCTCCGGCAACCGCGAGTGGGTCGGCGCAGCAGCGAGAAAACACCGAGCTCGCCGCCGCGGGCTTGCTCTTGTACGGAGCGAGATGCCAAGCTGGCGGTGGCATCGGTGGTGGCAACGAGAGCGACAGTGGAAAGGCTAAAGCAGCACCAGCACCAGCAGCACCAGCACCAGCAGCACCAGCAGCAGAGGAATAGCCCGAAAGCGTAGTCAGAAAGAAAGGATTGTTCCTTGTCTCACGAAAGAGTAGCAGACACTCGCTACACATTTCATGCCGACGAGCATCTTTTCAGAGTGAACAATGCAACCAATCGCGCACCACTTTATTCGTGGTACGGACGAAAGGAGAGAAGCACTGCTTTGCTGTTGTTACGGATGAGTACGAAGTACTCGGAAGCCCAAATACCCGCATGGTATGTTTAAAGCGTTGCTCGCCCAGGGGGTATGTTCAAGTTCGCTTCTTGAAAGCTGAGGACGGACGAATCAATTTCTTTTTCTCAGCACGTCCGTACGGCGAGGCAAGCCCACGAGGTAGGTGTGGTTTGTTCAACCGGTATTACTGCCCTGTAAGATCTGACTCTTTTCCGGAAAAAATGCTACGTTAAAGGTTCCTTTCGAATACACTACAAGTATTACTAAACGGCCCCTCCGCAAGCTGCACGGATCTCAAGCGGATGTTGTTCGGAGGGAAGGAATGTGGGGGGGGCTAGTCTAACGTCCAGTCCGATGATGGGTTTGATCTTCATGACACAAAACGTAAACTGGATGTTGGTTCGTTCTCTAGGAGGAGTGAAACGCTTCCAAGGCAAATAATGTCTAGGGTCGTGCACGAGCCAGTTCTTTTGGTAAACATGGTAGCATATGGTGAGTGATCCATTTGTTGATCGTATGTCGTTGTCGTACTTTCGTACTTTTTGAGTCGGCAAACAGGGCCTCCAATCGGCAATCAACATGTGTGTGTATATGACGTGAAGTTGTGAGGAGTTATTTACGCCGTATCCTACTTCTGTACCACAGAAGAACACGCTGCAGAAGGAGAATAGAACGACGACTGGCACTACGTAGATGTAACGACTCTGCCACCTCTTTCTTGGGGACCATTTTCGACGCAGAAACCTCTCGCGTGTATAGCGGGAGGGTGGGTCCTTGTACGGTAGATCGATAAGGGTGTGGCTTTGATGGAAGAGAACAATCATGCCTGATCTTGTTGAAGCCGCCTTGTTTCCTCGTTGTGTACAATGAATGGATGCTGTTGTTGTTGTATCAACCCAAATTCTTGAGGGAACTGGGACGGTTCTACGCTGATAAAAACGTTTTTCTCCCATGGAAACATATCAGCTTCTTCGGGCCCTTGTCCGTTTATGATGCATGGGCGAAATATAGCAAAATAGCATAGTGATCGATGCTGACAGTCAGGGGGCGGGTTGGTTGCGAGCGGTGGGAAGGATAAAGCCTTTTCAACATTTTTCGGTGATCGCGAAGTAGCCGAGAGGTACCGGAATCGCCTTGATCTTGCCCGCACTCGTTCCTGTCCTGTGGAACACACAGCCAGCGTAAAAAAGTAGCTGCATTCGTTTGACGACGAGAAAACTTTGGCGAGTTGTTGTGTAGAGGTCTCTTTCGATGCCACGGATGCACACCAAGGGGTCGAGACCGTTTGTGGGTGCACCGGAAGCTCATCTCCATTGGCGGAAAAAACGCGAGATTTAAGCATAGCCATGATATGATAACCGTCTCTCGTGTGTCCGCTGCACTTAGGTGAAGCACAGCACCAAATTAATGAAAAACGACACCGGCTCCATTGTACGTACGTGATGCGCAGCGAGCTTTTCGTGGGCCGTTTGCCGTGTTCTGGCGAAAAGAATACCCCAATTTACTGCTTACCCCCCAAGAAGATCGGCATGGTCTCCCGGCGTGTGGAGGGCTAAGCATCGAAGCACGCACGCACGCACCTCCCCCGCCAAATGGTGTTTTATCGTAGGTATCACATGGACAGGCAGTAGAAGAAAGAGCGTACAGTCCAGGTGGACGTCAGGTCTCTTTACAATCACGCAACCTTTCTCTCAGCACACGCTCCCAGCGCCACACAACGAAGTTCACGCCCCCCACTACTACGCACACCCCCGAGACCTACCCATGGTCGTTTTATAAGACACATGACACCCTTGCTACACCTTGCTTCCATAGAATATACTGTCCGGGTGTTTCCCGAGTGCGCCGAGGGAGGAATCATGTCGCCAATATTGGGCTGTTCACAAGAGGATCGTGGTCTGCGCTACTTCATTCGACCTCGCACCTGGTACAAGAAAGCGACGCCCGCCTTTCTTCCTACGCGACAATGCGTTTCCTCGAAACACCAGAAGCAGCAGAAACAGAGAAAAAAGCCTTGCTTTGTAAACAACGCCCCCCCCGGACCAAGGACCCCCCCCCACCTAGCGAAAAGGAAGTGACCAACGCCAACACAAACGAGAACGGGGAGGAGATGAATGACAGTCACACATCACGTCCGTCTCTTCTTCCGCTTGTCGCGCGCCATCTGAACCTTTCCTCCTCTGTTCTTCTTCGCCATCACCTGCGGAATTGAAAGCGGGTCGACAGGAAGCGAAAGCGGGAGCGGGTCCTGGTCTGTGACGGGAAAGCACGCAACGGGGTCAAAGATTAAGGTTGGATCTCTCTCTCCCACTCTCTCCTCCTCCTGCTCCCCTCCCCCTCTCCCCTCCCGCAACTGCCTGTCGCCCTGTCTTGTCTACGGCCTCTCTCTCACTTGACAACAAGTGTGTTACTCCCTTTGCTCGTTACCCCGCCCACCCTCTCCGTATAATCCAGCCTAAACTTACACATGCTCGTTGTTTACGCGCAAATTTTAGTACAACCCACCTGCTTCTCGCCCATCCTGGTCTTGTGCTTGACGGCCTTTCCCTTGCGGATCATGAGATAGTTCTTCTTGCGCTCCTTTTCGGCGTTGGTCAGCCCTCCTGCGTGACTGTTCGCCTGGAACTTCTCCCTTCCGCGAATGACGCCTTCCAGCCTGAGGAGGGGACACGGGGGGATGTTGTATAGGTAGAGAACGCTAAACACACAAACGAGCAGCGGAAAAAAAAAAAGGTAAAAGCTTATCGCTCTTCGTGCCAACGCTTTGGTCACGCACCATCGATCCCAAACTTTCTGACACCACCACCAGCTTTAACAAAACGACGAAAGTGTCTCAAGAGGATTCAGCACGCTCGGCTGAGGCTTACCAATATGAACACTTACGAACGGAAAACGGCCGGAAAAAAATCAACAAACCCAGGCGAACCACAGCAAGAGTCAAACATGGCAGCAACAGCAGCAGCAACAGCAGCAGCAGCAGAGGCATCGAGAGTGTACAAACGGCACCAGACATGACGCAACATCGTCGCATCTCTCCTCAAATCGATTCCAGCTGACTCTTGGTCATTGGCCCCGAACAGCAATCTTCCCTAATCCCTTCGCAAGTCGATTCCGGGTCTGTCTGATTCCATCCCTCCGCAAGTCTTTTCCGGGTCTGTCTGATTGTTGTTCAGTTGTTCACCCACCTCTCCTCCAGCGTGGCTCGCCGACGCTTCCGGTACCCCTCGAGCGCTCTCGGGTCGACGGAAAAGCTCTGCCCTTCTTCGCCCCCGTCGTCGCTGTCGTCCGAGTCGCTGCCGCCGATGTTGTGCTTGCGCTTGTGCGTCCTCTGCTTCGCGGCTGTTTTTTCGTACGAGAAGAGCAGGGGCACCAAATTAGGAGGGGGGAGGGGTTACGGGATAGTTGTTGGGGGGAGGGG